CTAAGTTAGCACTGTGGGTAAAAGTGATGGCAATTCTGTGGATGTGGAACATTAGAACTCATTTCCTCAGTGGCTTTCATCATGTCAGTAATCCACTTTAAGAGCATATCCCTCCTGCTTTCTGAAGTGTAGAATAGCAGAATGAGTGCTATGCTGAAAACTGGGAGACCCCATTGCTTCACCATACAGACCAACCTTTTTGGGTTTAGTTTCTCCATCTGTAAGAGAATGACAACCTTTGTTTGAAGACACCCAAAGTTCATGGAGCTTTTTACGACTACAGTCTTTGATTCCTCCACCCAGTCCAAAGGTTTTTTTTTTTTTTTTTTTGAGACGGAGTTTCGCTCTTGTTACCCAGGCTGGAGTGCAGTGGCACGTCCACGGTAACCAGGATGGTCTCGATCTCTTGACCTCGTGATCCACCCGCCTCGGCCTCCCAAAGTGCTGGGATTACAGGCTTGAGCCACTGCGCCCGGCCCCAAAGGTTTTTAAATTAAAACCCAAAGTGATTATTTCTTTTGGAACTGAGAGGGTTCCCCAACACACAGGCCACTTTATCCTCTCTTCTGTGTCTCTGGGTGTTGGAATCATAAAGGTTAGAGGACCCAGTCCTCTGTCTAAGGTGGACAAAGGAAGATGTCATGAAAGCTAGCAGTGGGATTCTTTCAAGAATAGCCGGGCCTCAGTCCAGTTTCTCCCCTACCAACCCAATGTGTTCCCACAAAGACACGTACACAGTCTCTGCCCAGCACCTCTGGGCCAGCCTGTCAGACAAGGTCCTCTCCCTAGAGAGAAACAGTTCCGCAGTGATATCTGAATACATTCCAACAGCATGTGTTTATCTCTGGGGTCAGCCTTTCCTGTTGATGATCAGGCAGTGTGTGGTGGGTGACGGGATTGGGATAATAGTTGTTGGCAGCCATAGGGGGCAAGGAATGAGGGCACTGCACTGGGGATAGGGCCCCTGCCCTTGGGGGTAATATTATGATGAGGTTTCCAGACTGCATGTGACCACACCTCTCTCTCTCCTTGCACCAGGATGTGCTCCCCAGCTATTGGGAGCACATCCTGGTACAAGGAGAGAGAGTGTTGCCAGTAGAGATGAGAAGCTGGACAGTGCCTCACTCAGGGGTATGTCTTCCAGAGCTGGCTAGGACCTGGTGGATAGGGACCTCTAGGTAGGGGCCACAGGATCTGAAGCCAGGAGAATGAAGTTGTTTCCATTATTTAATGTAGGGTCTGAGCTCCCTTGGGACACAACTGGTTCTGCCTCTTCCTGTGAGCTCGCTGATAGGTACCTGGAGCTACAGGCTCTAATAGTGGGATAAAGGGACCACCCTCCCTGGCTAGGCGAGGCAGTCAAGTCCCAAGAGCTGACAGCATTGGACACAGTTTCCAGGAGCTGCACCCCCTCTGTCAGGTAAAGTGCCCACCAGTGGAGGGCAAATGGCCATGTACCTTCTGAGGGTTCCACCCCAGCTCTGAAGAGCTTTGAGAAAGTATGTTCACAACCAGTCTCAAGACCTTTGATTTCTTTATTATTTCTTTTCAAATGAGATAATCTCATCCTCCAGGCTGAGCTTTGGAGTGGGGTAGAAGGGAGGAGGCTGAGCCATCTGATTCCTCTTCAGCAAAAAGGAATCATGTCCCCCAGCCCCCATTCCCAGCCCAGAAATATTTATCCATGTTTATAAACCATGGCAACAGGCTTTATTCTCTATCACTTAAGTCCTTTTTTAAAAAGAAAAGCAGAAGGCAGCTATTTTTCCTACTTTTGCCGCCTGCTCTGCCCAGATGAGAGTTACCTCTTCAGAAACAAGGTAAGAGAGAGACCCCTCCACACACCTCTAGGGTAACATTGGCCTTCTCATTAGCAAGGGAACAGGTAAGTTGCCATGGTCCAGCACCATGAAAGGACTTCAGAGTTAGACAGTAATTGCCCTCCAAAGTCTTATGGGAAACCACACAGAGGGAACCCCACCTCAGACTTGTCTAAAACCTCTCCTTTTAGCTCTGCACTGAGATGACGATTATCACCTTGTCTTCTTGCTGTCTCCCTCTACCTGAAAATGGATGGAATGTGAGCTGGCTTTGCTAACAATATATTCCTCCTCTGTAAGATGGGGTAAACATTTCCCTGCTCATGACTACTTCACAGTTAGTTTTCAGAAGAGAGTTTTGTAAGGAGTATGAAGTTTTAGACTCACAAAGATTTAAACCCATAAGCAGGGGGAACTGAGGCCCAGTAAAAACAAAGCATTTGTGCAAGATGATACTCTGTTGCCAGCAGCACAGAAGACCTAACCACCCAGTCCTAGGTTCTTGCCAAGAGATCAGCCCGCTCCTTTTGGATTTTGAACCCTAGCCAGCCTCCTAACTTCCAAGTGGATTCCAGCCTATAAAGTCTCAGAGATGGAGAAAACTGGGGCTTAAATTTCACCCTAAAGACTATTTCAGCAGGCCCAGGACAGTGGCTCATGCCTGTAATCCCAGTACTTTGGGAGGCCAAGGCAGGCAGATACCTGAGGTCAGGAGTTTGAGACCAGCCTGGCCAACATGCTGAAACCCCTTCTCTACTAAAGGTACAAAAATTAGCCAGGTGTGATGGCAGGTGCTGGTAATCCCAGCTACTTGGGAGGCTGAGGCAAGAGAATCGCTTGAACCTGGGAGGCGGAGGTTCCAGTGAGCCAAGATTGCACCACTGCACTCCAGCCTGGGAGTGAGACTGTCTCAAAAAAAAAAAAAAAAAAAAAAAAAAGAGACTGTTTCAGCCACAGATCCAGAAACGTTGACTCAGAGTTTTACATCTGACTACCGTGCTGAAGACTGGAGATGGAGCAAAGCAAGGCCCTCTGAGTTGGGGAACCCTTTTGTGATGTTTCACCCCATTGAAGCCCCCCTCTATGGATTACATGTCAATGCTGGCTCCTTCTGCCTCCGTCTGTAGTATTCAACTGCAGAACTTATTCAGCTGGGCTGGAAACCCCAGCTCCATCCTTGGGAGTGGCTCTCACTCTGAACATTTGGTGGGTCCCACAGAAAGGGATCTCTTGGAGAATTCCTGCCCACAGCTGCAGAACAGGCAAAAGGGCCAATGCTGCTCAGAGTGGTAGGGCCAGAGTTGCCTGGGCTCGTCCGGCAGTCACCTTCCAAGTTCAGCCCATCCTGTGCCTCCTTTTCTTTTCTCTGTCCATTGACTACAGCTGCCCCAGCTTCAGCCAAAGGGACACTTGGGGCTAGGCCGAAAGATGTGGGCAAGAGGTCTTGTATAATTGAGGACCTGGGGTTGTTAAGTGAAGGCTATACAACTGGACTCTGCAAACTTTTCTAAAGATTCATTCTCTCTCACCTTCCCTTTCTTCCCCTCCATCTTTGTCCCTGGTCTTTCCCCATGCCATGTCTCTGTGTCTCTCTGTGTCTATCCCTCTCCTCCCCACTCCCAGTCTTTTTTTTTTTTTTTTTTTTTTTGAGTTAGAGTCTTGCTCTGTCACCTAGGCTGGAGTGCAATGGCACAATCTCAGCTGACTGCAACCTCCGTCTCCTGCATTCAAGCGATTCTCCTGCTTCAGCCTCCCGAGTAGCCGGGATTACAGGCGTAGGCCACCACGCCCAGCAAATAATAAAAATACAAATAATTATGTATTTTTAGTAGAGACGAGGTTTCGCCATGCTGGTCAGGCTGGTCTCGAACTCCTGACCTCAAGTAATCCACCCGCCTCGGCCTCCCAAAGTGCTGGGATTACAGGAGTGAGCCGCCGGCGCGTCTTTGAATCGTTAGCAGATCTGGCGCTCTTGGCTGCCTCGGATCAACCGGATCGTGGCGCCGGGACCTTTCGTGCCTTCTCGGGTGTTCCTAAAATTGTTCCACTCAGAGACCGCAAATGCTGCCTGGGGCAAACTTTTCCCCGTTAATTACCTTGGTACAACACGTTGCTAATTGCTTGATTATTCTCCCTGCTCTGCACCACGGTCCTCGGCTGACCCAGCCGGGCGCTGAGTCTCCGGGCTGGGAAGGAGCAGCGCTGGCGGGCGCGGAGCCCGGCGTCCCCGGCTGGGCTGGGGGGAGCAACCCCGCCGGACTGCGACCCATCTCGAGACCATCGGCCGCAACTACCTCCTCCAGGGCCTGGCTGGCGCTCCCACGGCTCCTGTTGAATACAATCCGAGCATCTTCCCCAGCCTTAGAGCTTCGCCGAAGGCCAGAGCGTCAAGTAGGACGATTGACGTTGAGCCCTGGGGAAAGAAAGGCTTGCTCCCTGCCCACCCCACTGAAGGCCCCAGGGAAAGCAGCCCCACCCCATTACTCCGTTTCACGTTTTCATAAAAATCATTGTTTGAAATTACCGTGCTTAGCGTGTGTGTGTGTTTACCTGTTTGTCTCGCCTCCCCTTCTCCCCCACGTAAGTTCTTGAGTGCAGGGATCTCGCCTGTCAGACTTAGGGGCGCAGCCGACCCTCGGCGGCTTTGTGTGACAAAGGTGAACCGATCAGGCAGCGGCGTCTCTGCTCCGCTGGCGAGGGCAGGGCTGCGAGGACCTCACTCTAGGAGTGGGGCGGGAGCCACATTCCCAGGGTCCTCTTCCTGAAAAAAAAAGAGCTTCAGAGGGACTTCTGGGGATGGGAGCGGAGGGGTGGGGCTGTTTCCTTCCAGATTGGAGTTTGGGAAAAGAGACTGACACTATGGCACTCTGCCTCTTACTGAGAACGCTACCCAGTTCCTCCCCGTAGAACTGTCCTCTCCCTTTTGACCACACGAGGGTCACGTGCTTCTTTGGGGACCGCGGTACGATCTGGAGTCACGATGCCCTCCGCCGCGCTGGCCAGGTCCAGGCGTCTCCCAGCCAACCCGGGTAGCTGCGCCCGGGTCCGGTGCAAACACCGCGGTGGGGTCCGCAGCAGCTGCCCAGCCCGTCCCCCGGGCGCCCTGCTCATTGGCTGAAGACAGCCCCCCTGAATTCTCATTGGCTGTCCCACTTTTCCCTCCGCCCCCAGCACCGACCGCGCGCGGCCAGCCGCGGGGGAAGCGGCTCTAAGTCGCGGGCTCGCAGCGCAGGCTCAGCTCCGTGCGGCTAGAGGTGCGAGCGCAGGGACCGGGAGCTGGCCCGGCGCGCAGTTTCCAGTGGGGCCGGGGTCCCACCCGGGCACTATCTCTTTGAACCGAGCCCGACGAATGGGCGCATGACGATGGAGAGCAGGGAAATGGACTGCTATTTGCGTCGCCTCAAACAGGAGCTGGTAAGAGCGAAGCTAGCGCTGGGGCAGGGAGGGCTGCTCCGCCCCGACGGGCACCTGGCCCCCGGCGAGCCGGGACGTGAGGAGGGCTAGAGAATAGGAGAGGGCACGGGCCGGCAGGCAGAGGGCAGGGTTTGTCCTCAGGAAAGGGGTCACGAAGAAACTTTGAGCAAAGATTTGTGATGAGACAAGAACAAGTGACAGAGAGACGGAGGGAGCAAGTCAACCAGGCCGAAATGTGACACAGAGAACCCCAGGGAGAACACAGGGCACGCCCAGAGACGGCCCGGCGTACGGACGGAGCGGGACTTCGGCGCCGCCGACGCGGAAAGCGCGGGAGCGAAGGCCTAGGGAGCGGGACGCGAGCGCCTGGGTGCAGGGCTGCGCGGGGCGGCCCGGAGCCCTGCCGGCGGGCGCGGCGCGAGGGGGAGGAGGGTGCTGGGGCCTGATCCCTGCCCGGGCAAGAGGTCAGCGGGACCGCTCGCTCGAAGGGAGCCAGTACCGCTCTGGGCCCCCAGCTCTGCCGGGCTTGGCAGAGCTGTCGCGGCTGCGGGGGCAGGCTTGGCCGGCTGTCTGCCCGGGCTTGTCTGCCAGCAGGGAGGGGGCTGGCAGCTGGAAACACGGGGGAGGGCCCTGCGCTGGAGGAGGGGCTCTGCCTGGCAGGTCGCGAGCGGGAGCTGCAGAGGCCCAGCCAGATGTCAGCTCTGGGCTTGGGGAGTGCGCAGGGAGCGTTCGGAGGCCCCGGGGTGCAGGGAGTGGGAGAAGTAGCCCAGCCTGGAGGGGTAAATCACCTAACTGGGGGGAGTGGTGTCCGCTAAAGCTGTGTTAGGGAGAGCCAAGTTGATTCTCACTGGCTTCATATACCACTGCTCCCGCCCCCACGCCACCTGCCACCTTTCTTATTTTTTCACCCGCCGGAATTCAGGCAGATATTATGCACATACACCCCCATCTCTGCTTTGCCCATCTCTCCTTCCACCAGCCTCTCTGTTGTGTCTTTGCCTTCGTCCCCTTTTGTCTCTTTTAGTTTGTCTCTCTTGGAGTCGACTTCGCAGTCTCACTTTTCTCGTCTCCTCTTTCTTCTTACTTTCCAGAGCCAGGGGCAGCCAGGCCACACAACAGCAGACCTGGATCTAGAAAGGGCCAGCTCATGGCTCTCCGGATTCTGTGACAGCCTTTCCCACTCCTGCCTGCAAAGGCTACACTCTTCCTGCTTTGGAAGGAACTTGGCAGTGTATTAGGGGCCAGCTCTGGGGGTGGGGGACAGAGTTCGAAACTGCAGGTGTTCTCATTGATGCTTCCTGACCAAGTCACCCTGCCACTCCTCCTGTCGATCCTACTCCAGGGTCTGCCTGCTCATGTCAATGATCATTTCTCTAGTCCTTCCTCCTGGAGCCCTTTCTGTGATGACACTCAGATGCAAAAGCTACTGACTCAGAGAAACACTTCTTGAGAGACAACAGTATTCATTGCTCTTCTGGACTCACACCATGCCCCTTCCCATAGTCGTTTTCACCTGCTTCTCTTGCCAGCTTGGGATGGCTGGCCCCAGCCCACGCGTGCACAATTCTCATTTTTTTTCTTTTATGTGTGCAGTACCAGAAAGGTTAAGGTCACCACAGATAATGTCTGAGGTCCAAGACCCATTCTGAGAAAAAGAATCTAATAGAATCCTCCTCCTTGTGCTTCAAACTGGGGACCACACCACCCACCTCAGAATCTGCCTTAATGGAGGGTTTGTGGGTGTTCCTGGCATGGGCTCGAATTTTTAAATCCTACTGATTTGCATTTTTTACAGCACTCTAGGTGGGAGGTGGTGAGGGGAGGAAGACAGAGACTATGGATGCCAGGAGAATAAAAAAGGCAGATAGGAATCTGCACTGAGCTTAGCTTCACATCTTAATTTACACCCTCTCCTGCCAGGGACTTGAGACCCCAATGCCTGGGAGGAGGAAAGGGAGAGGCTGAAGTCACTCAGTGCCCCATTAGCTTTTATTTGGCCCTTTGTCTGAGCAGCTTCAGCCTTTGACTCTCTTGGAGAGGAAGCCAAATGCCTGGCCTGGGTCCCAGAATGACACTCAGATGGGAGAGCTCTGCACTACCCCCCATGATGCTCCGCCCCCTCCCCAATGCCAGCCTGCTCAGACATGAGACAGAGCAGAGGAACAGACAGAGCTGGTAGAGGCTCACTCACACCCAGACACCTCAGTTCAGTGCTTAGGTAGCCGGGCCAAATCTCAGTGCTTTAGTATCCCAACAGTAGCAAAGGGGAAGAAAGAAGAGTTGAGTTAGCCCAGGGTCAGCGCTTTGGCTGCCTTGCCCGGGACAGTAGGGATTGAATTCAATGCAGTTTACTTGTGGCTGGGATAAAAGAGTGTTGACTTTATACCCTAGGTCTGCAATCGGGTGGGAAAGGAATACAGTTGGTCTCTGTGATGGGGGGGAGGGGTGCTTTTGCACTGCAGATAATCCATCCCAGGCAGGATCTCCCTTGCCACCCTGGGGGGCATTGTGTTGCCTGGCCCTGCCCTACGTTGGTGTGCACACAGGGATGGCCTCATATAATACTGGTCAAGTTCTATATTCATTTATTTCAGTAAGTTTCTTTCAAGAATCAAACATTCTGCAGACACTGTGGGATAAACCTGCTGGAAAAGAAAACATTAACAGGTTGTGAAATTATCATTGTCAAGGGTGTTTTATGCTCCCCTCCTGCGTCCTACCCCTGTCCTTGGCCCAAAAAATCTAGACAAGAAGAGTGTGTTCCTGAAAACCCAAGTAGTGGAACTTCCCAATTCCCTGAAGCAGAAAATTTCATTGTAACACGTGAGCACTGGAAGAAGGCGGAGGGTTTGGGGATCCTGGCTCAATTAGTTGATAACTAGAGAGCTGGCCTTTTTCTTCTGCCTAGAAGGGGAAGGGGATAGGGTTTCAGGGATGAAACGTGGCAGGAGAAGTAGCAACAGCTGACACACTTCTTCATTAGAATGAGGGGTTGGGGCTGCAACAGCTCAGCAGGGAACACATCTCTTTTCTCCCTCCAGCCGCCAAAGAGGGGCCCTGCCTGAACACAGACCTTGGGACCAGCTGTTCCATACACACAGCTCCCTTGTGGGTTACCAGTAAATGGGGTAGGCACAGGCACACGGAGGAGGCAGATATAAGATGCTCACAGGGCATCCCTCATGAGTTCAGACCAGTGTAGAACAAATAGAACGTGTAAAGGCTGCATGATCGGAGCTCATGAAGTACAGCCAGGCTGGGAAGGCTTCCTGGAGGAGGGAGAGGTTGCAGGAGGCCATCTCTGGGAATGTCTGTCCCAGCTGAAGCAAGGGGAAGCAGTTCTCTAGCTTTTAGTGGCCACGAGTTCAGGGGGTTCTGGCAGATAGGCAAGGACCAGGGCCTACAGGCAAAATAAGGAGAAGAAAAGTAGGAGGTGGAGAAGATACAGTAGGAACAGCCTTCAGATTTGGGAGCAAAAGGGCAAATTTCCTAAGACAGAAAAAAACGTTTGCAAAAGATCTTATAATGCATCTTCCTTGATGTTTAACACTGGGGAAAGGTGACTATGTGACTAGTTGACAGTGTGGTCAATGGGAAGAATGTGGAGTGTAAGATTTGGAGTGAGGCCAACTTCAGCTCAAACACTGGCTCTGTGTGACCTTCACCTATTACTTAACCTCTCTGTGCCTTGGTTTTCTCATCTCTAAAATGGGGCTTTTAAAATACCTACTGTACACAGCTACTGTAAAGATTAAATGACAATTTAAGTGTCTCTCCAACTATATGTCTTTCACACATAGCGCACTACCTGATATGTCATAAGCACTTGATAAACTGTTGATGATGGATTGATCAGATGGTTTTGCGTGAGTCATTCATACATAGAACATGTTTATTGAGTTACTGCGTTTAAGGCATTTACTGGCAACTGGCATTATCGTTACAAACATAAACAGACACAGATCCTGTCTTCAGGAAACTCACAGTTTAATAGGAGATATAATAACATAAATTGATATTAACATTGATATGCCAGACGTATAATTTATGATGTCATTTAATTGCCAAAACAACACTAAGAAGTTGTACTTTCGTTATTGTCATTTCGTGAATGAGTCAATAAAAACATGGGAAGGTTAAGTCACTTGGCCAAAGTCATAGAGCTGGTAAGCGGAGGAGCCAGGATTCAAACCCAGCCAGTCTGATTGCAGAGCTTATGTTCTCAAGCAGTACACGTATGCAGACCTCTGGGGCAGAAATAGAGGAGTCAGCCCAGGTTCAGTGCTCTGAGAGGGAGAAATAAACTCCGAGTGGGAGATTAGAGAAAGCTTCATGTCACGGAAGAGGTTGCATGTGAACTAGACTTCGAGGGATAAATAGGGACACGCACAGGAGAACAGCAATCCAGGCAGTTATTGAACCGACATGACAAAACGTCCAGAGGCTGTAGTGCTGGGGATGTCTGAAGACCGGCTGGAGTTTGCCGAGAACATAGAGCATGATGCAGAGAAAGGGTGGGCAACAGTGCTGAAAGAGCTGGCGAGGACACACTGTGGATATCATGCGGAAGAGTCTGGCGTTTCCTATGTGCATTGGAGAGTAGCCCTGGGATCCAGAAGGTGATATGGGGTAAAGGTGGTGGTGGAAGTCGGGAGAAAATGAGGTAGGAGGCTGAGTTAGAAGGTTATTACAAGAGTCAGGCAAGAGACATTGAAGGCCTGAACCAGAAAGGAAAAAAAGGTTGGGAGGTCTCTCGAATGTTCGAGGAGGTTGATCGACTGCAATGGAGAAGTGCTAAAGCTGGTCAGAGGGAGGAGGCCTTGTGGAGGCTAAGGGGCAAACTCTGGGAAGAGACAGCGTTGGGCTCCTCTCTCCCTCTGTCTGCTCCTTGCCTAAGTCTGTGACCCCATGGATGGGTTGGTTGGGAAAGTGAGCCCATCCATTTCACAGCCCTCACTTCCTCCTTTCTTTACCCTCCTCCCTCCTGCAGCTCTTGGCAC